CTGTCTGTAATCTTCACGCATCCAAAGAAGCATACAATTTGAAAGAACTGGCATGTTGATGCAACCAACTTTCGTCCAACAGCAGCAAATAAACACAACGGTGAGCAATGGACAATAAAGTGGATATCCCTCAAACCATCCGACCGCCCTTCTGCGGCAGTCCGATGCCCCATCCAGTTGTCAAACCTGGAGCAACGACAGTTCTCCACTTCTCCTGATTACCTATAAATGGATTTGGAGAGGCAACATTTTCCGCCCACAGCAGGGGGCTGGACCCCACGGCCTTCACGGCCCCTTCCAACTCTACTATGCTATGATTCTACATAGACCAGCTCCAAAGCTGTCTATATACAAAAGACATTAAAAATGTTTTAATAAATAAATAAATAAATAAATAAATAAGCGCCACAGAGGCGGTTTAGTGCACGGCTGTTGCCCTTCCTCTGCATTTGGTATGTTTTCGTCTCCGCACCCATCATGCCAATAGGGAAAAAGGACCAGAGAAAGAAAAACTGAGAGACGTTTCAGAGACTCCACCCAGTCTCGCAAGATCTCCTTCCACCCACTGGCTGCTCCAGGACAAAATTTGTCACCACCTGCTTACAGTGTACCAGCTATAGCCAGCAGGCCTGTCTGCTACCAGTTCCCGGGAACCAGCTGGTAAGGAGTGCCAGCAGACTGTGTACTCTTGGGGATCCTTCCAGATCCAAAGACAGAGGACAGACACTCGCAATTAAGCTTTTAGCCTGTTTACGCTGTGCAGAGGATGGAGAACCAGATGCAAAGAGACAACCTCAGTCCTATTTTGGAGAAGCGAGAGAGAGAGCGAGAGAGAGCGAGAGAGAGCGAGAGAGAGAGAGAGAGAGAGAGAGAGAGAGAGAGAGAGAGAGAGATTCGGCCAGTGATAATTTGGTAATTTGATATTTGGGCAATGATGGCCTAAGGGCTTGTCTGGAAGCATCCAGGTTCCCTCTAGCCCCATCGCATATGAATGAGCTACTATTCCCGCAGGTAAATCTAAAGTGCCTTAGGACAGCCTCATAAGTTACTAGTCCACAATTAAATTTAGCTAGCTTGCTTGGCTGAATAGACCCATTCTAGAGATTTGTTACACCCAGGCATCTGGAGGAAAAGTGTCTTACCTTTCTGATGCTCACATACAGAGCATTTGAAAAAGACAGAAGTCACCCGCAGGAGGCTGATATTGATTATTTCTTCATTAAAAGCCTTTTTCCCTTTCTAAACGTGCCTGACTTTACACTTAATGTTCTCTCTGGTTCCACCTCCCGCTGTCCTCAATGGCATCAAGGACACAAGACACGGGCGACCATGTGCTACCGAACAGAGGGTTTCTAGAGTCTATCTTGCTAGCCACAGCTATCCACAGAGATTATTCCACAGGCTGGGGGGAGCTACTGTGGCTTGAACACCCAGGGCGGCCTGCTATGAGACCCCCGGGCATCCTCCATGCGCTGGGCACGTCAAAACATAGGAAAAGCCCTGCAGGACCAGCCCGAGGGTCACGCTAGTTCAGGGCTCCATACACCCAGTTGCAAACCAGCTTCCACAGGATCCCTCCAGCAGGATGGGTACAAGACCTCCACCCACCCAGCAACTCGGCAACGGGTGAACACAGACTTGGTGGCTTAGTGTCGCATTCCATGGCATTTGGAAGCCTACCCGGAGTAGCAGAAAATCCTGGGAAGCTGACAGCACGGACGCAGAAAACTGTTCTAGCCAAGCTTCCCAAGAGGCAGAAACTCCCACTTCGGAATTAGTTGACGTGAAAGACAGACACACGCAGAGCGAGAGAAAAACACCACATGCACAAACACTGTCGCACACTCCTAAGAATGCCTCACTTGTTGTTTTATTACAGTATTTCATTTCGAAGGCATCTCCGCCTGCTGGCAGGAGGACAACCGAGAGGGAGCAAAGCTAGCTTTTCTTGGCAGGCAGCTCCGCACCCCAGCAGGCACCACGAACGCGGCCTTTGGCGTCACCAGCAAACGCACCCCTGAACCAGCACCCTGAGCTCTGCTCGGACACAGCCCAGCAAAGCTGTTGCAACAGGGAAGCAGATGCTCCCCGAACCAGCCCTGCCCAATGACCTGGCCTGGGCATTCTGGAATGGCCAAGAGCAACGCCACGCAGGAGATGCCACAGTAGTCCAAGCGGGATGTAGCTAAGTATACAGCGTGTGGCAGGATCAGACAACACGAGGAAGGGGCTCAGTGTTCAAGGACAGGCTGGGCGTGCACATGGTGGGCATGTCGTGCGCGGAGCCGGCTAGCACCGTGGGTCAGACTAGATGGCCCTGGAGGCCCCTTCTGACTCTGTTTCCATGTTTCTATCTTAGTGATTCAAAAGTTTTTCAGGCCGCCTTTCAGAGCGGGATTCCTCCCAAGACAGCATACAACATTGAAATGCCTATCATGCCATAGAGAGAGAGAGAGAGAGAGAGAGAGAGAGAGAGAGAGAGAG